TGAAAAATTTAAGGGGGTCTGAATACTTTCCGTACCCACTGTATATATATATATATATATATATATACTACATTTTGGGGGGTTAATGAAATGTTGTGTCCCATCTTTGTTGTAGAACAATATTCCAGGAAGTACTATGACCCGCAGAAACACATACGTATGTACAGATCGTTCCAGCACTGACCGACACTCACTGCTGCAGAACGGCAAAGACAACAGGTGACATACACATACATTCACAAACACAGATACACTCTGCCACTGTGCTGCACTGTCTGCCTCTCATTCACTGTGCCTGTTTCTGTCTCTTCTCAGCTCCCTGTCTCACCGCCTCCCTCCCACCTCTCCCTCCACTCTCAGTATTGTCGGAGCGGGAGCATCTTCCTCCTCTTCCTCAGGTGAGCGCTGTCGGCTGACACGTGGATCCACCATCCGGAGCACCTTTCATGGGGGTCAGCTCCGTGACCGTGTCCCGCCCACCTATGGACCTCCGCCCACATCGCCCACCCTAAGCCATGACGCTGGAGCCCTGCCACCCAATGCCCGCAGCCGGGCCACTTCTAACCTGTTCAGCAAACTCACCTCCAAACTCACACGCAGGTAAGTAAAGAAACTCGCATCATAGAAATAAAAACATCCACAGTTTGATGCATTGCTTGGGATTTTTGTTTGCAAGAAATTGTCAGGCATTTGTGCTGCTGGATGCAGCAGTGTACAATGATCATATCATGAACAAGATGAAGAATTAATGGAAAAATCTGTAATGTTAAATGTGATGGCTGTACAGTTAAAAGAGCCAGTTGATAGAGACATCACAATGCTCAATATAACAGCAGCAGAAACAGAAGTCCTTCCATAAGGTGCAGTCACATTTACCATTGTTTGAAGTCGTGATAACCAGCTCAATGAAGATATTTGCCTGATGGTAATCCGGCGGCAAAGACATTTTCTTATGCAGACTTCGTGTCATGTTCACATTTGGTGAACTTTGACACAAATTTGCAGCACTGATTAGTAGCAAGCCTCTTGGTTCAGTAGTGACCTCTGTGTTGATAGAGGTTCATAATTTAGCAACAAAGCAAAACGGAAGATGCACAATAGATGAAGTGCTCATTCTGGTTTTGTAAACAACACTACACCTTAATATTATAAAACGATCATTAGGAAAGGCTGTTTGGAAAGCAGTTTCTTAAGGTTGGTTTGTTTGCTATCTGTTAGAATAGCTTTGGATATTAGTTTAGTTGTTGTTATTTTCGTATAATTCATTGTATTTTGCCATATCTGGTCCCACATGATAAATTTTGCCAAGCAACAGTAAATGTGAACTGACTTTTACAGTTCAAAAAGCTAATAATTTTGAACTGCGTCAGTGTCTATTTCATGCACACAATGTGGATAAGCTGCAAAAGTTAAATATGTCAGGATGCTAAAGTAACTATACAGTATGTAAGATTTGTTTGGTTAAAATATTAAGAGGCAGCTCATTGTAATTGAATTTTACTACCACTGGTTTAATTTATTACCTGACATCACGCCAACCTGGACAGCATATCGAACTCAGTTACCCAATTTTTTAAAGCTTAACTTTAAATGTATTTAATTTTTTTACAAAATCGGTGCATCACTAATTTGCTTCCTCCGTTTTACCTACACTGAACTGCAGTATCTTACAGGAGACAGATCATGTGCTCAACTATCTTCACTCTTATTGGTAATCATCACATTATTCACTGCTCATTTGCATAAATGTAAACTTTTCTAAACTTTATCGAGTCATTGGACAAGCACACAACACTTTGCCAAAGGTCAGTATCACTCCTGTCAATGGAAATCGACAACTGTTATTGAAAATGAATGACTTTGGATTATTTTGTCACTCCAGGTTGCTTTCAGTGTGAATGGGGCCTTGCAGAGGTTTGCTTTTAGGCAATACTTAAATGGTTACATTTGTAAATATGCTTTTGACGGACACATTCTTCCAACAAATAAATGCATAGACTTGATGATTTATGTAGGAATTAAAAATATGATTCCTTTAAAAAAAAAAGTGCCGGAGTGCTGCCTGTCCAATAACACTGGGGTCCCACTGGGGATTTCTTTCAGCTTAAAAGTTGGTTTTACAGTCACGCTATACACATTCATCGTTCCTTGGCTTATTGGCTCTCTTTTTCAAGCTTTCCAAGCATACAAATGTACACCTTTCCTAGTCTCTCCCACTTTGCTCTTATTTCTCTGTTACCTTTCTTTCTCTCAGTTGCATTTGCTCTATCACTCAATCTTTCTGTGACTTTCTGCATCTCTTCTCTCTCTTTCTCTTGCTCTCCTCATTGTGTTTCTCTCTCTCTCTCCTAGGGTCAATCTTGACCCCTCTAAACGCCAGGGCTCTAATAAATCAGTGTCGGGTTGTACTCTTCCACAGGGATCCAAAACAGTTAGTAAGTTCCCCTGTCTGCCTCTGTTGGCCTGTCTGTTGCCGCTGCACGTCCGTCTGTCTCTGCACATGGCATGCCTGTCTGCATGCAGTCTCCTTTGCAGAACGTGTGTCTGGTGAACAGGATGTGAGAGTGAGGAAAGGCTGGATGATGGTGCATGGAGGTTATATCTCTTATCGGTTTGCATGCATCTAGGAACATATGCAAGTTTTTATTCTATGGCCCATTACACATCGCTCAGGTCAACATCGGTCAGCCAGTTATTGACCTGCTAGCAGATTATAATGTTGGACAAGACTGAGAGATCCAGATATGTATGCTTGGAATTTTTTTTTGTCTGTGGTGGAGTTGTGTTGCATGGATCAGACACTGTTGAGGTAATGCAGACCATCTGAAATTGTGTGGGTTTTTTGCAGGGTCACAAATGAATCTGAGGGAGTCAGCAGATCTTCGGTCACAGGGTGAGTCCTCATTTGATACTACGTTATGATCAAGAATGGCCCACTTAGGGAACTTTTAACATTGTTGTACTATTAACACTGGATTGGGCCAAGCAAATGAACCAAGTGCCAAGTGTACATCTGGAGGATCATGTTTTGACATTCTGATTAAACTTTATAGGTCAATTTCTTTTTATAAATGAAACATACATGGATGAATTGTTCACAATAAGATCTAAAACATGCATTTACAAAATAGATGGGATGAATTTGATTTCATGCCAACTTTAAGAACAGACTTTGTCAACAGATTACAATGAGAAGAATATAAACTTGAGCTGTGGTTTTGTCTTATTGAGCTGTGGATCATTTCGATTTTGAGTTTTAGAGTCTGAGCTGACAATGCAGTGCATTGTAAAACTTCAGTATGAATACAGTTGATAATACAGAAAAGATGCTTTTTTTTCTTTATCAGACTCTTATATTTTTTCATTTTCTTTCAATTTCAAAGTTTTAATTGGCATAATTGTTTTACATTAAATATTTCCCAAAGCATCAATACACACACAAAGTGACAGAAAAAATGATCTGCCAGTTAACATAAAAAGAATAGTAATACGAAGTAACAATAAATAATAGTATACTGTATAATAATAGAAATAATAACATTATAAAATTAAATAAAACAAATCTAATAAACTACAATAAAATTCTCAACAATGGTAATAAAAGCAGCGTTTGCTTTCTGAATATGTGAATCTCAAATAACAGTTTTTCAGGATTTTTTGTTGAATCTCTCATTGTTGGTGTTTCTCTTCATACTCTCTTTCCCAGTGGCCATTTATCTGGGGATCAGAAAGCGTCCGAGCCCTGGAGCGGGGGAGGGGGGTGGGATGTAAGGGGTCATCTCTCCCGTCCCCCCCGGGCCCCTGCAGAAGTGGTACTGGCCTTGCATGAGGCAGCGAGGGGATGCGGCTGCCAGGTCCGGCACGCTGGCCCGTTTCTGCTGTGCTGCAGTCATGGGGCGGCAGGGTCAAAGGTCGCTTTCCAAGCGGAGGTGTGCCAACTGAGTGTGGGTCCTGCAGAGGCAAACGGAGTACGCTACACACGCCTGTGGGGGGCCCCCCTCGCCTTCAGGCACATCGCATCGCAGATCTCTAAAGAGGTGGAGCTCTGAGGGGATAGGGGAGGAGACTTGAATATGAGACGTCCCCTCACTATATCCGTCGTTATAGCGAACTGACGTTGACCCACCCACTTATGTGTTATAGACTTAAAACAACATCTGATCCCTCCTCCAGTCAACACTCAACACAAATCGAAACTAAACACACATACACGTAAACAAACACAGTCACCTTAAAAGCACGGGAAACTCAAACCAGACAATAAGGAAATCTGAAGTACAAAAACAAGCACACCGTTCCATGCACAACATAAAGCTGAGTGGAAACACACACACACACACACACACACACACATTCTGATTCTGAACAGCCTCATTTACTGGATCTGGATTGAATCCAGTTTAGTATTTTTATTCTCATTCTAGTCATGAAATTCTTTTTTTTAACCACTTTTGTATGTTTTCAACAAGTTTTGACATTTTAAACGGGTCATCATTTTTATGTTTTTGTGATTTAATGTGTCTTACATTTCTTAATACTGAGTCAAAAGCATTGAATCATTGACAATGTAGGACTGTAGCTGCCAATGAACTATATGCACAAATGTGAAGTTGGCAAACGTATCCTAACTTCATCACAGCTCACAGAGCCCACACAAATCTACATTGCTGGCGACCGCAAATTTGATCAGGCTGCGAGCCAACCATCTACACTTTGTTCTTGAAATTGTCCAAGCTAAATTTTGTTCCCTAGAAAATCTGTTTTTGTGACGTATAGTGCCAGTTTACTTACTTCCTACCAATTTTAATTTAGAAGAGACATTTAATGCCAAATGACTTTCCCTGACCCTTCGCGAACAGGTTCTGTGATTGGTTGGTTCTAGATATTAATCCTTTATTTCAACTCCTATTCAGTGATCCTTTGCAAATAGCGTCAGCTCTCCCTTTACCCAGTAAGAGTGGAGTAGAGGTTACCGCAAAGGTGATTTTACAGAGTGAGGTGGTTTTAGTGTTCAGTGTTATTAAAGACACGTTTCCTGCATCGAAGATATCTGAATAATTTGGAAAAAGACCTATTGGATATTGGATCCTATTGGATATTATTTGATTGTAAAACAAACACCAATTTATGTATTTAGTGGAAAAATAAAAAAAATAGATTTTCTAGACTTAAAAATGTATAGAAAAGTAAATATCAAATACAGAAATGGCAAAATATGTTGTGGCTTAGTAATTGCTGACATTATGTCATAGTCATTCATTAGCACATGTATTTTAGTGGGTTTCCGTTTATTTTATTTTTTTAATGTACGACTATATTGGTATTAAAAAATAATTCATCCCTTAACTAATCAGATTTGACTTAAAAAGCACCAGATATCTAAAGTGCAGGATGTTTTCATGCAGGAGTGCTCTTACTGTTAGGATATATTTTAGGGGCGAAGGCACCAACAGGGCTTCGAAAAGAGTTGTTTTTTGATTCAAAGTCAGTTGCACTTGCAATATTGTGATAATATGGCATTATTTAGGAATCTGTTTACACTGTAAAGCCTTAACAATGCTATGTAACATAAACAGAGATGCAGTTCAAGATTGGACCATAGACATTGTGTCATATTGTTGCTGTAGCTCATGAGGGTTGTTAGTCATATGCGAGTTTGTCTCTTTAACAGATGTGGAAGCATGATGTTATTGACTTGATAGGGATTTCATGTGCAGGTTTGACACCTGAATAAAAGATATACGCTGCTTAAGATAATTTTTCATGAGTAGAAATAGGTTTGTTTGGAGCTTTTCTGTTCTTTTTTTCAAAAAATACTCTTGGCTTGCTTTTTTGACCAAACCATTTCTGGTCATTTGTTGTATAACAAGGCCTAGCTCTGCAATAGTTGTCAATTTGGCAAGCATAAAATAAACAGCAATTCACAACCGAGTATATCAAAATGTACCTATGAGTGGTGATAATTGTGCAATAGCAATAGATGTTACTGTCACATTTAGAAGTTGTTTCTGTCTTAGTGTAAAGCCATGCTTCGGCCCTGTTGGTGCTGCCAGCATGTAGACCGTGAGATACTGAGTGGATTTGAATAATGAGGGTTTTTTTTTTAGTCAGCAAGGTGAATAGGACCCTTCTTGCTAGTTCAGTTTGGATAAACAGGTTGGTTTAATATGGTTGGTCAGTTAAGTTTTGATTGGGGAGTCATTGTGCTGTCATGTGTGAAATATGTTGTAGATACTAAAGAATTATATTCCACTTTCTCCATGTTTGTGATGGCATATCCCTCCGTTCATGAGAGGGTGTTGGATTATGGTACAGACAACAAACAAGCTTGGTTCTTGATTTTGATTGTCTGCAGCAAGTATGTAAGATGCTTCGAGATGCTTGATAGTTTAGTTGTGATGACTTACTCCACAGCAATCACTGTGGTGTGTCACCTTCGACCTTTAGCCACACAGTGAGCCTCCAGATCACGTCTGCCATCTCTTCATCCATCCACTTTTTTTGTTGTCTCGTTCACTTTATTCTCTGCCTTTGTGCCACACATTTGCAAAGACACACAGTTTCTCCTCATTTGATTGCCGAATCACTGGACATCCTTGTGTCATTAATCTGTCTGCTCTGTGACTGGACTCCTGTTGTGGAGAAGCTTCCTGTTTCAAACTGAACAGGGTAAGGACTGGATGTCCTTGACCAGTCTGACCCGGTCTCCGCATCAGATCGGCTCTATCTGGTTTGGACTGCTGAGACCTGTATCTGTTCGATGTCCATTAAGACCTCTGTGCACTCATGTTGACTTGAATCAGCTGCATCCTATGGCTCTGTGGGTCTGTACCCATGTTTGGCCACCGGAAGGCGCCAATGTCTTAAATGTGAACACTTCGATTTGTGTATATTTGCACAGGTACTTAATTTATTTTCTAGAATAATTATCTTGGGAGAAAAAAAAAAACATGGTTTATATCAGTCAGACTATGGCTGTATATAAAGATTATGATACTGATGATAATATTGTGAGTATAGTATATACAGTATCTTAGAACTCCAGGTTAAATCATAGCTAGAGCAGAGACCCTCTGCTAGCTCTCCAGATGTTTCTATGTGTGCTGAAGTGAAACACTAACCTGCAATCCTGCATGATTCAGAGAAAGAGAAGACAAATGTGAAATAACAGAATGGGTAAAAGCAAAGGAATTCAAGCGAGAGAGAGAGAGAGAGAGAGAGAGAGAGAGTGAGAGTGTGTATGCGTGTGCATGTATGTGTGAATGTGTGCGTCTGTGTATTGCGCTACTGTTGCCCTGCCTCCCCTCTCTCTGCTGGTAGGAAATGTTTGTGTGAGAGGATTAGGGCAGACTTTTACTCTGGCAGCCATACTTGACCTGGAGTGAAAGTGTGTTGGAATGAATGAGATTTTTAGTGTCCCAGGTATTAAAAAAGAGAGGATTAGTGAGAATCGTGAGTCAGGCGCGTCACATCTGAATGGTAAATCCCTCCAGTTCAGTGTTGTGCTGTCTGTGATGTAAACTGTCTGCTATGACATTGGGTTTTTCATGATGCATTTAGCTAATATGCAATATGACAAGAGAGAAGTCAGGTGGACAAATTATATATATATATATATATATATGAGAGAGAGCAAGAGAGAGACTGCTGTTTGCTGAAAGTAACTTTTTTTCCCCCAGAGGTGTTTGCACCTCTGGCCAAATATTAAAATGGAAACTTGAGAGAAATAAACTTCACTGATGTTGGCATCTTTGCTTGTGCTTGATTATTGCATGATTTTTATTTGGATGTATGGGAATCTCGTGGTGTGCAAAATTCTATCCCTCTTCTTTTTTATGGGTAATTTATTTGTTGCCTGGTTGAAAAAGTAATCTAAACTTTGACCATATGAACTCATTACAAATTCAGTAGTTTATATTTGTGTGTGTGTGTGTGTGTATATAATATACTGTATATACACAGTAGTCAACATTTGAAGTGGATCAAAAAAGTTCATCAAAGTTGTCCTAAGACAAGAATGCATTTTGGTTTAAGGTTTTAGGACAACTTTGATGAAAGGTTTTGATCCACTTTCAAATGTTGACAACTA